ATATATATAGCAGAGCAATGAAGCATAGACAGAATAAACTCTTTTTCGTGTTCTAATAAGAAAAAGAAGTTGCTTCTAATAATAATATTTAACTTGTAAAAATTTTCTAATGTAACGCAAACGATTTAAAAATAATTATTTTCATTCATATATGATAAATTTCTATTTAATAATTTATTTAATTTAATCTAATTTAATGCAATTTAATTTTTATATTATAACAAATAATATTTCTAAAAAATAAAAAATAATTTTAAGAAAAAAAAAAAAAAGAAAAGAAATTCAGATCAAATTTAAAATAAATTAAAAAAAATATTTCTTTAAGTATTTTTAATTATCACATATAGTTATTTTTTAATTTCAATAAAAATAACTAATGAAATATAATAATTTAATGAAATATAATAATAATCTGACCATTATTAATGGATTATCTTTTGCTTCCGATAATGGTGATTCTGATGATTTGTTGACAATTTAAATATAAGTACTTTAAATATATGTTAATTAAAAAAAAAAAAATAAAAAAAAAAGAATTCTGGAAAAAATAGTTCGATAATAGAAAACGGAATAAGTATATTATAGATAAATTTATAATTTCAAAAAATAATGATTAAAATAAATGATCTTTCAATTTTTTTAAAGTAATATTTTGAAAATCGTTTTGCATAAACTTTAGAAGAGATTAATCGGATAGAAACAATCTAATATTTAAAAATAATCAATATAAAAACTAATTTTTTGATGATCATAAATATTGATTATATAAAATTTATATAAAAAACACAATACTTTTTTATCTCATAATTATGAATCATTATGAGTAATTTCATAATTAACATTTCATAATTAGTATTTAAAAAAAAATGAAATCAAACGAAAATTATATTCAATTTTTGGTTCTAATTATATTTAATTTTTCTGATTAACTCAAGGGGAAGAAAGACAAAAGGGGAAAAAAGAGGAAAACTGCAAAATGGATATTTGCAATGTAAAATATATTTTATCTAGAGTCTAAACAAAATGTGACTCTTGCCGCAATGACAGTGAATTGACACTATACAATTGCATCTATGATCAATTATTAGTGTCATCACTCGTGACTCCTGCCAAATCTCATATGACCATAATCTTCAAATTGTTCTCGTTTTCCAAATCTCAAGTGACCATAATCGTCGAACTGCTGTCGTTTATTTACGTCTGTAAAATCATCTTCTTCGAGAAGGAGATTTTCCACGTTATATCTGAACAGAAAAACAATAATAATTAATCATATAGCTTTAAAAGAAAAGAAAAGAGAATATTATTGAAAAAAATATAATTTTAAAAATAATGGATGTAATCATTTTACTTTCAATTCAAACTACTAATGTTTTCAAGTAAAACAAATGATATTTACAATATTATAAATAACATGTATAATATTTGAATAAAAATTATAATATACATAAAAACAGCATGGTATTAATATACTTGCTAAATAACTAATAACTTTTAACTAATAAATTATATTGATATATAATATTTATCATTATCAAAAAAATTAAAAAAAAAGAAATATCTATAAGATGAAAGTTTAACTTAAAACTATTTAACTATTCAAGACATTTTAATATTTCTAAACATACAATGAATCGATCATGTGTTATACTCACTCTCTTAATAAAGGGCGGTTGCGGAATCTTCGACGCAGATTACTAACGATTTCTGTTTCACATTTTGCAAAAAATAACCAAATGACTGCCATTACGCAAGTTAGGGCGAAAGTTAAATTCATATCTGTAAAAGGCAGACAAATATCATTCTGTTAATTGACTAAAATACACGATTACAAAATTATCATTAAGTCATTTGTCCCATAATTAATTACTTAAACGATTAAATTTTCCAGAAAAGAAAGCTTATGTATATATTTTAAGAAACTGTACGAAACGCAAAAACACGCGGAAGTAACGCGTTTTCATGTTCATCATGTAAAAAAAAGATATGGAAGAAGATGCTTATTCACCTGTATGATGGAGGATTGGAAATCGGCGGAAGAATGCACGGTCCACCGTTTCCACGTGGCTTTTTATACAGCAACTCCATCATCCCCGGTATCCCAGGGGAAACGTTGAGCTCTTTGAATTTTAATTCACGTAGCTAAGGTCTGATAAACAATTTTCTTAACCGCGTAGACACCTTCTCTGTCGAACGTTCAATATTCAACGATGGTATCTGATGATTGGCATCTCGAATAACCGAATTACCGTTTTACCATCCTGGCTTCTCTCACTCACAAGATAATGAAAGCCGCTTTGTCTACGCGCGAACTGTCTTAATTCTGAGAAATTCTGAATAAAGTTGTAAGTTCCTCTTTCCAACTTGAATGAGTTTTCTTATAAACAGTTTTCTATTGGATTTTTTCATCGTTTCGATTAATCTATAATATGAAATTGAAATATAAAATATGATATGAAAATGTAATCTAAAATATAATATAACATGATTAATATCAAGGTTATATATGTAATGTAAATGTACATACAATATAATATATATTATATACTATTGTATACAAATATATTTTAATAATTATTTTGTTATAAGAAAATGCATTTAATTTCGTTCACCGAAATTCAAGTAATTTTCATTTAAAAGATAATTAATATATTTTATATGTGACGTATACATTATTAACGATTGTTGTAGAAACAAATTTTTCTATAGCAATCAATATATGATATTGATAATATTATGTTATATTATATCTAAATTTTAATATATAATAAAATATACATATATATTTTTATTTTATTTATATTTTATAAATATGATATTGTTGAATTAATCGGCATTTTTAATCCATTTATCCAATAGAGGCCGGTTAAAAGGAAGTTTATCATAATTAATTTCGAAAAAGAAAAAGAAAATTTATTATTATTTTTATAAAATTTCTTTGTTAATAGAATAAATAGAATAAATAATAAATAAAAATAATAATAGAACTGCGACAGTATATTAGTGAAATAGCGTTGCTAACAATTGAATGCTGAGCGTTAGAAAAAGAGACTTGACAGAAAGAAAAGATGAGATAGCAATATTCGAAATCGAATGTTATGTTTGTGCGTTTTTAAGAATACGAAAGCCTAGATCAACAATCTTTCCCGTTGCTAAGATAGTGTTGCTTTGTTCTGGACTCAGTACGTTCGTAACGTTCATATAACGTATATTAGAAATAAAAGTGTAAGAAAAAAAATTAATGAATTTGTAATATTCATTCAAGCATACATGAAAAAAAACAATTACGATATGTAATATGCATTTTTTATGTGATATACTTTTATCAGATTATTATTTCTCTCTGCATAAGAATGAAAAATATTTAGTGCAAGTGAAATGAAGATAAATATTTTGTCAGTGATTTGATTGAATTTAATAATCTGAAATTCAAATTGATTTTGGATTCTTTTGTTCATGTGAAAATAATTAAAAAAGCAATTGTGGATATAAAAACATATTCAACCTTCGAAATCTTATAGAAGTGTGTTTTGATTTGCTTCTATACTATTTCGATAAGTATGGCAGGTTGAATGAAATACAACGATTCATCTATGATTTTAAATGAAATATTATGCAATCATTATATAACTCCAAATATTGTAGAATTTACTAATTTATTAATTTGTCTTAGATAAGTTTCTGTTAAGTAACTAATATAGATTTCAATTTGCATAATTAAAATTTTTTTTAAATGATACAAAAATGTTGCATAGTTATATTACACGATATTTATGTACATTGTGTATTATCTTATATTGAAATTCATTTAAAATAATCAATTCTATATACAAAAAAATATCAGTATATTTATTTTCATGGGGGGGGCTCAATTTCGCTGAACGTTCTATTAAAAATTATATATATTTAAATCGATTTTTTTAGAATCGATACATCGAATTAAATACATTTCATCTTGATATTTACTGTAATACTAAAATAAGATTCACTGTACGTATATATGGACTATCAGTGTTGCCAAGTTTAATATAATGCCATAATTTATATCTAAAGTTGTCTGTAATGTATAATATTATATGGTATTCGTATTCGTATTACGTGTCTTCCAATGATATGATTTAATACAATTATATGTATTATTATAAAAATGGATATTAATTTGTTACGTATCTATGTATCATATCAGTTTTACGTATCATGTGGATGAACATACATATCAGAATTTGATACGAAGATACGTAACGGGACCAATCGGCCATTTCACTGTTCCGTTGCTCATTTATTTCTGTTGTAAACAGAAATAACGCATTGAAGTGTTTGGATTGTTAATATCTTTGTCATAAAGAAATTATTTCTATCGAATATTTTTTCGAATTTATAAAAATTTCAAATAATAATAATAATAATAATAATGATGAATAAAGAAGAAACCCTTGTGTTCATAAAATTATATCGTAAAAAGAATATTCTTTGGGACCCGAAACATCCAAATCATTATAACAAGAAGGAAAAAGAAAATGCATGGAAAGAAATTTCAAAAGAAAGTAAAAAATCTGTAGATGAATGCAAGAAAAAGATGGAATATCTTTTGGCAGCTCTTAGAAGGGAGAAAATGAAAATAAATAAATCTATTGGATATAAAAGTTCTTGGTTTGCTTTTGATAGTATGAAATTTATATTGGAAAAAAGCAAATATATTCAACCATCTAATTTGGTAAGTAAAAATTAAATTAGTAAGTTGTATTTTATTTTAAATAAACTTACAATATAACAATTAACAAATTTTTTAACTATATTATAATAATTTTGATTAAATTTGGAAAAAAAATTAAATCAATAGTTTAGGTTTAATTCGAAAATTAAGCATAAGATTCGATTTTGTATTCCTAAGAACATGATTAATGCTATTTTGTTGTAAAAAAAATAAATAAATAATTTTTTTTTTACATCAATATGAAAAACAACAAATAACACAATAAAAACTTCGTTTAATTATCTTTCTTATTTTCTGCTTAAAGAATTATAAAAAAGATTCAATTTTGAGCGATTTAGATCAGAAATTTAAGAAAAAAAATTATAATTTTTCTTCTCTTTCATTTAAACAGATAAAGAGAAATAAATAATTCTTAAATATTGTATTTACAGAAGAAAATATAATTCTGAAAAAAATGTAATTGTAATTTATTATATTTATTACATTTATTATATATCTCTATTATCTTTTATGACATTGCAAAGTAAATGTTTAAAGAATTCTATATAGTTTTAAAATCTTTAATTAATAATATTGATTACTTTTATCTAATTTTATCTGAAAAAAATAAATTTCCAAATTTTTTTATCTTAATTTTATAAATTATAATAAAATTATTACATAATAACAAATAATAATATTCTTTTTGAAATAGGCCCAAAGTGATCAAGAATTTAATAAACCAGGAACACTAAAACGTGAAAAATTCTCGTCTTCAAAATCACAGAACAAGGGTACCAATTCCGGCCATTGCTCTCAAAAAATCGCAATAAAAAGAAAAAAGTTACAATCGTGCGTTCAGCAACAATGTTGCGTCAGAGATCGTGAATTATCAACAACCACAAATAACGTGGTTGATGATGAATGTTACTATTTTGGAAATTTGGTGGCTTCGAAATTGCATATTTACAATAATCACGTACGTTGTTTCATTCAAAATGATATTTTGAATATTTTTCTCAAAGCCAACAAAGGTTATTATAATAATCTTAACTCTTCCCCTAATCGTATACTAGAAGAGACAGTTATTGTCAATCCAAGTTACCCATCTGCTCATTCTCCTGCAGCTTCCATATCATCTCATAATTCTTAATTATTTCAATACAAATTAAGTTATTTAAATTATCTAAACAATTGTTGATAAAACATTTTTGATAAAATAAAAATATGTTAAATTCATAACTATATTACTTTCATTCTTTGATAAAGTATAAATATAATAAGTTCCACATTGAATGCAATTTTTGATTACTTATTTAGAAATATTGAAAAGATTGAAATATAAATCTTCAATGGCTAGAAAATGCTTATAAATGTTTTATTGCTTCTATTTCTTGAATGAAATTTCTTTTTAAAATGCAATATTTTTTTCTTAAATTTTCAAACTATTCATATGTTCAATAATAGAATAATATAAAATTGTGTCAATGACTTATTTCTATGATATTTGAAACAATGACTATTTCTAAACTATTTAAATATACCTGATAAATTAATTCATAATAATAAGCCAAAAATAAGATACAAAATTCAATTATAATTAATAATTATATATTGTTAATAACATAATTTATATTAATTATAAATTCTTTTTTTAAAATTAAATTTATTAATTTATTATGTAAATTTTATTATATTATAGTAATAAAACTATAAAAGAAAAATATTAAGTATAATTTTATATACATATATGTTATAATCAGTCTTAAAACTTCATTATCTTCTAGAAAACTTTTACAAAATATATGTAATATATTGAAATTTATGTGAATCATTTATCTTTTTTTATTAAATGTTTTCAAATATTTATTTTATTTTACTTTTGTTAAAATTATTTAAATAGTTTCTTTATTAAAAATTCTTCAGCGTTTACGCCAAAGTGAAGTTAAAGTTAAATATGATCATGTAGATAAAAATTCGATAACTTATAATTAAAATCAAATATGTTAAGGCAATACTGTCAAATACAAATGCAATTACAATAGAAAATTTTATTTATTATAATTATTTAAATTAAATTTAAATTAAAAATATTAAAAACATTGTTTTTTATTACGTTATTACTTGTTAATTAAATTATATTTTTAAATTTTCTAAAAAAATTTTTTTAAATTCAATAGAGAAAATTGCAAAGGAATGAAAATATTTTAAAATTAGATAAAATTATGTAAAATTATTTATTGTGATCTATTTTTTATTTCATTCTTGTTTTTACTTTTTCAAAATAAAAATAATGCCATAAGCAAACAATATAAAAAAATTTAATTCAATTTAAAATTTCGTTTAAATTTTATTAATTTTAATTCTTGAATATCTTGTTTTTATTTCAATATTAAATAAATACAGAATATAACAAAATGTTGCTTCAAATAATTCTACACCTTCGGATCAATGAAAATTTGTAAAAAAAAGTTATATGCAAAATTGACCTTGACTGAAAAATTCAAGATCAAAATCAATTAAAAGTCTTATTAAAAATATGCAACAGTTGAAATTGCGAATTGAAAATTCGTATTATTGTCAAAATTACTATAAAAAAAAATTCTTACATCGCTCATTTCTCTTGTCTAAAATATAAACAAACGTGATTTAAAAAGAAAAAACTGGATTTGCTTCTCAAGTTACTCGTTAATCCACCAACGCCTATTATCTAACGTAAGTCGGTTTACGCGATAAGTTTACGCTATATTTTAGTTATATTTTTTTCGCTTACGAAAAGAGACAGCATGATCTAACAACACACTACGCAATCATCGAACCGATAAATCAAATTCGACGTAACTTCATGCGAATTTCATGGTCAAGGATTACGACAGTTCTCAAATGGCTTCGGTATTTGCGGTGCTTCCAAGCCATCCTATATAAATCACCGACGGTCTCTTTGAAAATTCAATTGTTCTCTATCATCCGACCTAAATTCATCATTTGCGCATCCATCATCGTAGTGTACACGGTGTGTACATTGAACCTGTAGTTTTTAATCATTCGTATGAAGAACAACAGGCGTTTCACCAATCTTCCTATTGCTCGACCCGTAATTATGACCGAGGATGTAACCGTAATGATTCAGAAGGGCCTGTCCGAGTGGTGGAGCGAGGAAACCGAGTATATCTTCCAACGAATCGAACGATGGGCCGCGTACGCGAGAGGTTACAACCGTTTGAGGTCTCAGAGGCTGTCGAGAGGTCGCATGACCATGCAAGGTGGACAGGAGCCGCGATGGAACATCTCGTCGAATAAGCTAGTCATCGATGACTCCACGTGGAATCCTCGTTTCCACACCTTGAAAAAATCTCGACGAAAGTCACGGCCTGAGGAGACCAAGATCAACTGTTGCGGAACCTTCAATTACCAGTCGAACAGCAATCTCGACAGTTCCTGCTTGGAAACGTATAGGTATGATCATAGTATTTACTTCAAAACTATTGGCGACATAAAGAATGGGAAGAAGGAGGTGAACGATGATACGAGGAACGAGGGTGAAGATAGGATTTCTATTAGCAGCGAGGAGTTGGTTGAATGGGACGTTAGCACGGTGTCGGATTTTATCGCCAATCAATTACTGGAAGGCAGGATCGATAATGATGATGATAATGAAAATGTCTTCAACCCGAGGGCAAATTCTGATCGGAACGAGAACAGGTTTGCCTCTGTCACTTGGTTCAACGTGGATTTATCCAAACTCGATCTAAATGAAGACGATGTTAGCATTGGCAATGGGCAAGATGACGAGAATAATTTGACCATCACCGAGATTGAGGAAGAATCGAATAATAATTATATACAGAGTGGAAAATCTCTGGTGAATACGAATGCGAGGAATGAAACGAAATTAAGCTGTCTGAACGAGGATAAAATTACGTGCAACGGAGGAGGAGAAAGGAAGGAGAGAAACGAGGAGGGTATGAAGAGGTTCCATGAGATTCGAAGAACTAAAAGATTGTTGAGGACGGTTAAGCAAGTTCCGGTTGTAGGTGACAACAATGTGATTTGGCCGAGTGTTTTATTGAATTACACTAAAAACATCGACTCTTCCAATTCGCCGCATCATTACAAGAAATCACAGAAATGAATATAAATTTTGGCAATATTATCATTACTTGGTGCATTATATTGATTGATTTACAGTTATATAAATGTTTCAATAATAATAGACTAATATAAAATTATGTATTTAATATCGTTTCAGCGAATTGAATGTATGTATTTCTTTTGTATTGAATACGCATCATGTTTTTTCTTTTTTTGTTAACCATAATTCCTGCAAAAAATACAATATGGAAAATAAATTAAATTTATACATAATTTATATTGTCATTTGTTTGTTTGAAATCATTAATGTGTGCTTTCGTATTTATTATATATGCATTTTTTTTTTTTATCAAATATTTTCTTTTGGGTATCATTTTATCGATTTTGAATGAATTAATACAATACTTCCAAATTTTTTCTTCTTTTATAATATAACGAATAAATGATGTGCAAACTTTCTCCTTTCTATTCGTATAAAAGAAATTACAATATATTATCCAAAGTTTATTTCATAAGAAAATGCATTTTTCAAAATGCACATGTAAACATTTTAAAATATGCAAATTTAAACCATTCTTATCTTGACTTCGCATAATTGGTGACTGAATAATCAAAATTCGAATAATTGATGTACAAATGTAAATTTTTAATAGGATAATCATTTTTAATATAATATATAAAATAGATTTATAAAAATATAATTTGCTCTCATAATCTAATATTTAATTAATTAATAATATGAAATTTTTGATTAATTAATTGTATTAAATTATAAATACGTTATATTAGATGAGAAAATGAATTGCAATTTTTAATAGATAAATCATTTTTCCGAAGTGAAATAATTAGATAGATCTATTTTATTATTTTTTTGGCTATATATTGGAAAATTGTAAGAATTGGAAGAAACAAAAGAATATGTAAATGCTAGAATAGATGTAATACGATAAAATGTATAGCAATAAAAAAATATTTTGCAATTATTTTAAAAATTGCCAAACAACTTTTATTTTTTGTAAAAATAACATAAAAGAAAAATATTTATATAAATATTTTACATCAAGAAGTAAATAATATTCTTTCGATGTAAATGTACACAAATAATATATGTATGTATATTTTATTTCTACAATGACATGAGATTCTTTGTTATCTAGTTAGATTTTCATTTTCGTCTTCATTATATTGCAAAATTATACTGCAAATATAAAACTTGTACAATTTTTTTTGAATTATATAGCTTAAAAGTAGATATTTGAAAATATATCACGAATTTTTTCAGAATTTTTTGCATAATGTAAACATACAAAAAATAAGATTCTAATGTATTATTTGTCATATTAGGTGCCATTGTAGGACAGGGTGTCATTTATATTCTAATACTAATATGATAAAATTCTAAAAATTACTTAAATTGTACTTGTTGAATTGTGAAAAAATAAAATAAAACAAAAATATACATATATGAAATTCATTATAATTTGTTAGAAAGTTTACATTAGATCTTATTTATTGATCATATAATTATACATAACTGAGAAAAAATTCAATTAACGTTAATCTCTATTTCTTACATAATTAATCTCTGTTTTTCTGTTTCTTTGACAAACTATTTGCGTCACGTAATGCTGCGCAATTCAATAATCTTTTCTTTATGACAAATTTAAGTATATAATATATAACATTTTTATTTTAAAAATGAATTATTTTTTTTCTTTAAAAAAGTAATCACATTATATCTAGTATATTATTTTAATATCTTGTGGAATACATTTGTTGCAATAATACCATAACATGAAACGATACAAATGATTTTATGAAAAATTTGCAATTTTTCAATTATTAATATAAAAAAATTGTTATTGCTTATATTTTTTTCTGATATGGTTTTGTAAATAATTTTTGAAATTTTTTTAAAATTTTAATATATCAAATCAAAACATTCAAACATTTGAAAATCGTAATTTTTTAAATATTAAATATTAAAATATTCTTCATTATAAAAAATTAAAAATTTTGTTAACATATAATTGTATGAACTAAATTTTGATTGTATTTCTACGAATAATTAAATAATTGGATTATAATTTTAAATTAATATAATTTTTAATTAGATTCTATATATTTATTATGATCTTCAAAATTAAACAAGGT